AATAATAATAATAAAAAAATTAAATAATAATAGAAAATATTTGAAGGAGTAAATTTGGTGACCAATCGAGACAGTTCATTCATTCAACCGCGAGCTGTCAGCAAGGCAAGACGTACCGGACACTTTTAAAGAAAGTAAATTTAAAATAAAGAAAATATGAATAACGACGAGAAGTGGCAGAACAGTTTGAAGCGGTTCCGTGAACGGATGGAGGAGGAGAAGGTGAAGCTCCCCAGGACACAGGCACTGGAAGCAGCCAGCACCACAGGTACTAGAAGTGCTTGCTCAGCGCGTGCAGACGCTATGCACGCGGCGTCGCGACACCTAAAGCTGATACATGTGACAGCGACATTCGAGGCCAACGCTAACACCGCCAACGTATCCAAGGCCGTCAACACCACTACGCAGCTAACCGACCACAAACCCACTACAAGTGAAATGGATGCACGAACAACACAAGCCGCCATGAGACGCACTATCGCGGCCCACGTAGCCACAACGCCATGCATCGTCGGCCGAGTAGTTGTTCAGGAAATAGATGAACCAAATCAAGAAGAAGTCCACGGGAGTCCGACGAGTGGAAGAACACCAAGCGACAGCAGCAAGGCTAGTAGCGATACGTCTAGCTCAGATGATGCCACGGTACCGCGACAACCACCAGTGATCGAACTCTCCTCGGACCAGGAGAATACCGAACCTGAGAGGGATAGGGTGGAACTGACCTTCCCACCGGGACAAGGTGGAGTCTCCCTGTACCGAGCGGACTTACTCTCCCTAGAAGATGGATCCTGGCTAACGGACACCGTGATCGACGCCTGGGCAAAGTACCTGGAGACCGAATTTGGACCGAAAGGCACGATACTCAGCCCCTTTGTTGTCTGGCAGTTGAACCAACCAGGGGGACGAGAAGAAAATTTCCGCCGCATTCACCGCTGGATCCGAAACATAGACATCTTCGGACAGCGTGTAGTCCTAGCACCACACAACGTCGCTCATCACTGGTATGTGCTCGCCCTATCGAATCGCGAGCTTACGCACCACATGACCGACACAGTGTGTTGTCAACCACACCAGTTATGGACGGCAGATTCCTGGACGAGGGGTAAGGTCACCCATGCAACCACGGCCTGGCGCGAATTCCTCCAGTGGGAATATAAGGAGAGGTACGGCCAGGAAAAACTCGATTTCCGGGAACTCCTGTTAGAGGTGCCACAACAGGAAAATACGGACGATTGCGGCATTTACGTGCTGGAGACAATGGAACGAGTCATGCGCTATATAGGACAAGGTGAAGGAGCGCCCGGATGCATCTCCGAGCCTTTCACAGCGGAGATGGCAGCGAAGAAGCGGGCTCACATGTTAGCTACCTTCAGACATCATCAAGACGCAAAGACGACCAATGACGCAGAGGTAACAAGCACACCAACTTTAGCACCACCACCCGCGGAACAGCTTCCCCCAGAAGGTATAAAAGTACCCATCAACGACGCACTCGGAACAGGACTTGAGGCCTTCCCAGAAATCGCCGAAAGAGTCAGGAGGAGTCTCATAGACCTCACGACCGGCACAGGAAAGCACCGGCTGAAGTTTAGTACCACCAGATATCAAGTGGCTATGTATCGGTGGGGCGTACACATACGGAGGAAGCCAACATCAATAAAAACAGCTGCAAAACCCAACTAAAGAAGGAAGATACCCAGGAAAGATTACAAGTTATAACGTGAATTAATTGAATTTTAGTCTGTACTTAAAGTAAG